ACCAAGTCGGTACTTAAAAAGCGAAAACGTTTTTTTTTTAAGTACCAGTGGTACCGAGTACCCGGTCAACCTGGTTCTTGATGCGCTATCCGAAAGGTGCACAGCGCAGATTGGTTCTCTTCATAAAAGCACTGAGAAGTGAGAAAAGCAGTTCTGGGCCTTTTTTTTAGCTAGTTGGTTAGTTGCTATTCTTGGCTGGATAACTCTAGCAGGTATAGATAACTAAATATGTACACAGTTTGGATTAAATGAAAGTACAGTCAAATTTTATCTCCTGTATAGACTAACATCAACTTACAGTGAGTGAATAATATATTTTTACAACATTAATGTTTTTGAATGTTATTTAATACAAACACTTGATCATTCATGTTTGTTTATTGTGCATTAAATAATTTTAACAGATTGAACTGATTTTATGTATTAGTAAATTTTGAAATTAACCCTAAGAAGAAGATATATAACTATTGTTTATTAATAGGTCATGTTATCTAACAAATGGAATCTTATTGAACTTGTTTACTTTTTTTCATACTTTTATTACTTGTGGAAAAACTTGAAACACAATTTTAAATAAGTATAAAAAATGGCATTGATTTTTTTACATTTTATTTATGTTTGACTTTATTAATAAAAAATTATGTGTTTTTTAATTAGTATGTTTTTGTGTTTTGCTCTGGTACCGAAACTGGTACCGAGAACCGTGGATTTTCACTGGTATTGGTACCGAATACAAACATTTTGGTACCGTGACAACACTATATTTGTCAGGATTATGGACTGGTGTTGTGTTTTCCCTCCCCATGTGTTCCGTGTCCCAGTTAATTGACTGATTCCATGCACCTGTGTTCACCTGATTGCCCTGTGTTTAAAAGTCCCAGTCTGTTCAGTTTGTAAAGGTCGATGTTGTGCTACTTGTGAACGTCATCCTTGTGTTCTGTGTCTCCATGTTGGATTATTAAAGACTCTCGTTTTGTGAAATCTTCACGTCTCCTCGTTCCCTTGCTCCAGCGAATTGTGACAGAAGACCCAAACCGATACAGTTACCTCCGTGTGTTCCCTCCATTTTTGTTTTCTGTTTTTTCCACAGTGTTTTTTGTTTCCGTTGTTTCTATGGATCCCCTCTCCCGTCCGGAATACCTCCTCCTCCTGCTGGAGCAGGGGGAGAGATCACTCGACGGCCATACCAGACTGTTCCTGGTCATCACTGCTCTAACCAGCTACCCGGACGACGCACTCTGTGCGTTCTACGATGCCAGTTTGAACATCTCGTGCAGAGCGCTGTCGTCCAAAGATGGTCCTCGAGTGAATTTTGCCGCCTTTGTGGAGTGGACACTGGCAAAAAATGGATCTCCGTTCCCCGCCTGTTCCCAGGAGAATCTCGCCAGTTCCACTCCCGACCCAGTGCCCAGCCCACCATCTCCCCGATGTGCGGAGCGCATGCCCGAGCCCACCGCTGATGGAGAGCCGGAGCCTGCCGCGACTGACGAGCCAATGCCGCACGGACCGACAGTGCTGGGGATCGCCGCAGAGCAGGAGCTGCAAATTACGTCAGTCAAGGTTTGTGAGCCTGCAACAACGGCCGCCACAAGGGAGAAAGCCGCGGACGGTGTGAGCGCGGAGAGGAGCTCCGCCCTCTGCACCGCGGCTGAGGGTGAGCTGTGTATGGTGCGGCAACTGTGCCACACTGAAGAGGAGAGGGCTCCCGTTCCTAAGTTCTGGCCTGAAAGCCCGGAGGCTCACAAATAACCCGCTCCTGCCTCCTCCTCCGCTGTCATCTGGCAGCCCCTCTGAGCGCCCTTAGCCCACCATCTATGCGGTGCGAGCTCCGCGGGACTGCCATCCTCCAGCGTCGCCGTGGCTGGAGTTTCCCTTGACTCCACCTCCAGCCTCTAAGCCCCGGACTCCATATTCACCAGGTCACTGAAACCGAACATTTTTTTAAACTCATGCCAGGGTGAAGATTTTCAAAAACTCCGGTTGCAGTGTTATCGTGTAGACAGCGAAACCTGAGTTTTTAGCTTGTGACGTCGGAGCCTATGCTGTTATCTCCGCCTACTGGAAACTTTTTCAGGCTTCTGATTGGCCAACATGGCTTTACGGTTGAGATTATATCGCCACCTGTTGGTTTAGCATGCTCTTGACAGTCCTTCATAGCATGCGTTTGCGTTTTCATGTGGACCGAGATTTTTTTTTAAACGGAAGAAGGAAAAACTCCGTTTATAAAAATACCTGTGTACGTGTGGACATGGCCTTAGTTATTTTGAACTCTCAAAAGTGCATTAGATAGAATAATTTAACTTTAAAATGTACACAATTTTAATTTTCTCCAATTCTTTCTTTTTTTTTTTTTTACATATCGCAATAATATCGTATCATGGACTTCATATCGCAATATTATCATATCGTGAGATTTTGATATCATTACATCCCTACAAAATACCAGTCCATAATTCATAATTACAATTAATCCAGTGAAACACTCCTTAAACTGTTGTCCTCTCACATCAAAATTTACTAACATATTTGTTTACAACTCTTTTGGACTGTTTCTCTTGTAAACGGTGCTTGATCTGTGCACAATTCAAGACAAATTTTTCACTGGAGAAAGCAATATTATGGATAAAGGACTCGTAATTTAATGGGAAGCAGTGGTTTGAATTTAAAAATATCCTAATGACGCAGCTTTTTAAACACATTGCGTTTTGAGAAGATGTTAATTGATTGACTGGAGTCGTGTGGATTATTTGTGGTTTATTGTGATTGTTGTTATTAGCTGTTTGGACTCTCATTCTGACGGCACCCATTCACTGCAGAGGATTCATTGATGAGCAAGTGATGTAATGCTTAATTTTTCTAAATCTGTTCTGATGAAGAAACAAACGCATCAGGACGACCTGAGAGTGAGTACATTTTCAGCTAATTTTCATTTGTGGATAAACTATTCCTTTAACTAGCAAGATTTGACTAGCATTTTTGCACCAGCACTAACAAGCATAAACGGGTAGCCTAAGCAGATTTTTTCAGCAGCAACGCCCCTCATACTAAATGCAAGTACATAAAATGAAAGCATGTTTCCCTCCTTAGACTATAATGACCTTCATTTGTCTTCTGCATGTAGTGGTTTTATAAGAATAATGCTTTGTGTATCTCAGAGAAGGAGCTCAGAGGAAAACCTCAGGTTTCGAATTGCGCTGGACGCTGACGCGTTGCATGTCTCCTCTCGCGTTGCATCTGATCGATGCATGCGATCGATACCATGGAAGACGATGAGGCCATTTACAGAGACACGTACCTCCAGCTGCAGTCATCAACCACATAAATAGATGTAGCACTGATACGCTACAGGATGGCAAATGCGAAATCTAATGGCACGCTGTCCCGTTCGAGAAATGCTAATGAGTGACCTAAAACCGGAACGGGAGAAAGCGTGAAATATGTTAGGACACTTAAAAACAAGCATGCAGATGTCAAGCGAGATATGTGAGAACGATACTGTAGGCGCTCTTTGAATTTTTATGCAATAACAAGCTTCAGAGGTTTAGAGTTTAAGAGGAATACAGCCACACTTGATGACAGAAATAGACAGGGTGCTACAGTTTGTGTAGGCAGACTTTAGGTGAGTGTGGCAAAATTTGACAAAGCATTACAGTAAAGGCACACCAAGACCCCATCTATTCAGAAAGCTCTCAGATCCATTCTCAAGAACACTAGGCTGAAATTGTACACCATTCAGCATGCAGCTATGGGGTGTAAGGGAAACTATACAATATCTTAAAGGGATAGTTCACCCAAAAATGAAAATTCTGTCATTTACTCACCCTCATGTCGTTCCAAACCTGTATGAGTTGCTTTCTTATGTTGAACATAAAAGAAGATATTTTGAAGATTGCTGGTAATCAAACAGTTGGTGGTTGCCATTGACTTCCATAGTATTTTTTTTTCCTACTATGGAAGTCAATGGCAACCACCAACTGTTTGATTACCAGCAATCTTCAAAATATCTTCTTTTGTGTTCAACATAAGAAAGCAACTCATACAGGTTTGGAACGACATGAGGGTGAGTAAATGATGACAGAATTTTCATTTTTGGGTGAACTATCCCTTTAAGTGCTCTTTTGAGGGCCACAACACCCGCTCAGGCATGCTTATGTTGTGCCATGCAGATGCGGAGTGTTGAACTGCATGATAAAACAAGGAAGGCAAATGACTGATTTATTAAAACTAGGATGAAGACTTTAGAATTAATTGAATTGCAGGTTAAGCAGGAACTAAACAGGCGAGCCAAACTCCAATTTGCGCTTTGTGTGTCTAATCAGAAAAAATAAGCACCTTACCTTGGTCTATTTGTTCAGTTATTTAAGCCTGCAGTAATTAGTGTCAGGACAAAGTACTAAAGGTTAATGAGCATTTGATAAGGCGCCGTTTTATTAACCAAAACACTTTTTCCCGCTGAAACGTGGGAAATCTGACACTTTTTCTGACTCCACAGATGGTCTGAGGAACGTGATAAAAATGGCGTTACTGGTTTTTGGCGCATATCTGATTTGTGTACCCAAAACCAAGATGGATTTGGCTACAAGCGGCGTTAATTGTTTTTTGGACCGTGAATATGAAGGCGATCGACTGCACTGTAAATCACGACAAAGGCCTGGGTATCGACACTTGATTTAGTGAGGAGAAAACAAAGCCTCTGCTCTATTTTTCCGTTGCTCTCTGGGCTGCATGTCTTAAATCAATATCCATCAACGATTTTGAAATTACACCCAGATTAAATCCCAATTTCATCACCGGGAGTCACATCTGCTGAGTTTCATTTAATTACATCAGCCTAGAAAAGGAGAATCAAAGTTGTTTGTCAACTGTTATTTATCCAACCGAAATGTCAACAAAATCCCAAACCAACACGAAGCTAGTTTTTGACATGCTTTCTTCATCCGCACATTAAATGATGTAAAGATTTCACTTTAAGAGATGTGAAAAATCCTCTCAAGATTTACCTTGTACGATGAGATGCACTTTTGTCGATTCTGGTTTCTTGTTCGTGAGGATGGAACACACATATGGCCCCTCATCGTATAAGTTCACGTTTATGATCTTTATACTGTATTCAGTGACTGCTGTGTTTAATAGGACCACCCGGGGGTCCAACGACCATTTTTCATTCCCTGTGAAAAGGATAGTGGTCCGGTTGAGCCATGCCACCCGCGATACTTTGTTGTCCACATTGCACCTGTTGAAAGACACACAAACAGAAGAGGATAAATTTGATTGCTTGCCATATGTTAAAGTAAAAATAGGATCCACAAGGCTGCACAGGGTTAGAAGGCGTCACCACGGCAATTTAACAACTCAGTTTGAAGTGAGTTGGATACATTTTGAGTAACTTAAATGAAAGGCAAAGTGTTATAATTTAAATGAGGAAGTCATATTGGGATAGCATGCCCAATTATCACTTTCTTTAAGTTTTTTTTTTTTTTTTTTTTGACACTACATTTGTCTCCTTCACAGGAAAGGACATTTCTTAAAACTGCAGAAAAAGACCTAGAGGCATTCGCTATACTTATCTTTTTTACCCTTTTCTAAACTTTTGAGTGACGGCTCTAAAGGTTAGGACTAATTGAAAGTCAGAGCTACATATTAAAAAACTGAGGCCGCAATCCCATGCACAGCTGTGTACTTTTACAAAAGGAAAAAAATACTGTTTTCATGGTGTTTATTTGTGATTTTCTGGCATTTGCTTTACTTGTCAATAGTTATTTCATAATGCAATGGCACAGAATGTGTTGTGTTGACATGGTTTTCATCAATGACACTTTACAAGGTGCAGTGAGGATTTTCAAAATGCCATTGCCAACCCGTTCACGTCAGCATGCCAAAAAACACTGCAGTAATTCATATTAGTCTTTAAGAGGGCTTCACGCTCAAGGTCAAAATCAGTAAATGGATTATCAGACCCTTTACTGGTGAATTTCTCGGCTCTGAAAATTAGTCAACAAGAGAGCGCTCTTCTGGCAAATCTGGAGGGCAACAATTGCAAGTGTGAAGTGAATGCTTTCTCAGGATATTCTTCAAAGGGAAAAGCTCATTCAGACTCTGTTAATCTATGCAGAGTGCTGGAGCGCAAGAGAGCTTGCAGAGGATTTGAACCATAGAAAACCACAAGCTTACGCTCCGGCCTATAATCATGCATGCTCTGCAGTTTTTGCTTGGGAATCACTGTGCACATTTGAACAATACAATGGATTTTTTTCAAGTTTCAGTCTAAAAATAACCCTATAGCCGCTCTGTGCTTGGCCTTAACACCTTAAAAGTGTTGCAGAACCTACTGTTCATATTGTAATGTATTGGTGCTGTGGGGCCTAATTCCCCTTCACTTAATGCTCGCTTTCCCCTCCGTACTGAAAAATTCTCATAACTATCAGAAGAAGGTCCCCTAGATGTTATTACGAACATTAATTCTGTACCCAGCACCCTCCATCTTCCGAAACGCACCGTTCATCATGTCCCAATATGTGTCTAGTTGATAAGTGTGTGGATTTGTACCCTTATTCTGGCTGAGAGCGACAAACTGAGCCTTAAACACCAAAATAATGACATTAGCATGATGGGGAAAACATGGAGGCTGTGCCAAAAGTTAATTTTCTGTTCAAAAGTTAAATTTTAAGGGGCTTATTGGTGAAAGGATTGCACTGTGAATAGGAAGGTCATGGTTCCAATCCCACCGTGGGCACCTTCTCTGGCCGTTCTGAGCAGGACGCTTAACACCTCATCTGCTCCAGGGGTCCTGTGGGACAGATGATTGCGTGCTCTGAATTTCTGCGCCTGCCTGTGACAGATTAGATTAGCAATATGCAAGATAACGAGTTTGCATAGTGGCTGTGGGAACTGCTGCAAAGTCCTACAAAATAAAGCAAAAAAGTTTGATTTTAAGTGATTTGAACAGAAACTGTCTCAGCTTGAGTGTTTAAGAAACGTGATTACACATTTTGAAAACAATTAAACTGCTACTAAATAGGTCCGAGACTTGATTTGAATTTTAAAACATACAAATATTTATGTTTATGCAATAGCAGGTCATACAGAACACTGCAATGTCATCACACAGTATATGCTTCACATCAAACAGCATGCATACATTCATAATGATCCATATCAAACAGCCGGCGCACACATTTACATATGCATATAAACCAATGAAGCCATTATAAATGCAATATGCTAAAAAGAAAACCGCCCTCACTGTGCTTGAAATGACTGTCACTTAAATTTAAAGCCGAGGCAAAAGCATACGTATAGATTTTTCCACCCTGTGCTAAAAAGTAAGAGGTGTTTCTTGGAAGGCAAAGCCTCCATTATCCAGCATTGACAGGCTGAGATCAGGCCTCATTCAGTAAACTAATGACTCTGTCACACCAGTCCCTTGCACTTCAGCCTAATGGACTGTCAGCCACCTTGGTGCGAGATCGTTTATATGAAGAAATATCTTCTCAACTCAAGCATGTTCTAAAATACATAGATAGATTACCAATATTTTACACAACACCCTTATTTAGAGATGTAAAAACATATTTTGTCTGATTAAAGCTTTTGTCCTTTATGTAATGTAATGTATTGTGGAAAACAGCGCACATTTAATTAAGGCTTTTGAAAATTTATTTCTGATTAAAACCATCTGACTGATTAAAAACCAGATTCACATACATGCTAAATATTAAACATCTGCTTAGTGTCATTATAACATCCATATGGTTAATATTGGACATCCCCTGCATATACGTATATAATAAAGCAAAATAGGGGGGGGGGACGACACTGGTCTTAGTAGGTTTCCTGGTCCAGCCTAGTCAAACTGGTCTAGCTTGCTAAATCAGAAATCCATCTGGTGTTTTTTTTTCCCTATAAAGATGAAGTATATTCTGACAAATTCTAGATCTAGAGTTGAGGCTTTAAACACTCTTAACACTCTTACTAAAAATCTATAAAAACTGATAACCTAAATGTAACCCTGGACCACAAAACCAGTCATAAGTTGCACAGGTATATTTGAACCAATAGCAAACAATACATTAGTATCTTGGCCAAATATTGTCCTATCCTAACAAACCATACATCAATGGAACGCTTACAAATAAGGGTTAAATCTGTGACAAACATATAGGGCACAACAATTTTTTAATGTTTGGGTGATGACAACGAGAGGCCATTTCATAAAATGACACCTGCCATATTTTTCATATCGCTGCTGTGCCTTTTTAAGATATGAGTAGGTCAGTGAGACTCTGTGCTGTGGGGATTCGGTGCTTGCAGATCATTGTCGGCAGACGGCCATGTGGTCTCAGGGTGAGATTAATGACAGGCAGGCTTTATGTGATGGGAGACTGATGAAGGCCATTACACCAGGGGCAATGAATGGTGGCCACTCTGTTTGGGCTTTCAGATAGAGGGGAAACAGGAATGATTTCCCCAACCAGACACAGACAGCAGTGTCGAGAGTTTCATACTGGGATTAGCGGAATGTGGGATATATATATATATATATATAAGTAACAAATACTGTCACACAGAAAACCACACATTAGGATGCGGTGTGAAATAGCATATACCTTCAGCAAGACTCCAAAGAATACTCCAAAAATGGTCAATGGTGAAACATAATACGATTCTTTTTTTATGTCAAAATGGTATTTTGTCAAAATACACTGCTTTTTATGGATGTTAAGTTGAAACATGCTTTGCGCCCGGAAAATAACCAGCTAACCAGCCAAACCTTGACTTCCTGATTACATTTTTAGAAAAAAGGTAAAGGTTTTGACAGATTTTTTTTTTCAGCAATAATTGATCAAAAAATGACAGTAAAGCATTTTACGTAGTTACAAAAATATATTTTTCAACTAAATGCTGTTCTTTTGTTCTGTTCTTTTCAAAAAATCCTAAAAATGTATCAAAGTTTCCACAAAAATATTAAAGCAGAACAAAAGTCAGCTTTCCAGTCATTAAAAAATAAAATAGAAACATAATTTTTAAACTGTAATAATATTTCACAATATTGCAGCTTTTACTGTATATTGTATGAGCAAATAAATTTTAAATGTATATTATTTAAATTATTTTATGATTTAGAGTAGAACTAGAATGCAAACCAAGATGTCATATTTTTACCGAGAATAATTCTTCATGTATTTTTTAGCCAGGGTGTTATGTATTTCCTGCAGATGCTTTCAAAATTTTTCCCACTGCAAAAGCAAAAGCGTTTGCTTTTCTGTACCTCATTCAAGTCTCCTGAGTGAGCCGTGGTCCTCGTTTGAATTGAAATAACAGTACAATAGTACAGGCCGCCACTTGTGATTGCCACTTTTGTCACTGCTTTCAAGGTGGGGATGCACTAACATTCTATTTGTGTCAGTCCTCAGAGGATCCGTCTGAAGGCCTCAGCCCACCTCCATAGCTAACTAGTCATGTGGATGAATGGCCTGCAGAAGTATGAAGAGAAACTGCCATTTTTGGCCCATCACTCAAGAACACGAGAGACAGACAAGCCCGATAAATGCTGCTGTTTGCTTTGTCCCACACAGCGGTATCTCCACATCAAAGACCCGTAGCTCCACCGGAAACTGTGCTAGAGAAGGCAAACGGCACATTGGGATGGAAAATAATACATCAAACAGGAAAAACACATGGCTAATAATTTGCCTAAATATATATACCTTTTTATCACTTCATGCGTTCCTTGGGAATTAAAGCCATGACCTTTACATTGCTATTTAAGCTACAGAAATTCACTTCATTATAAAATTATAAAATAATTTTTCTCATTATAGAGAGAATATGTGGTTTTATTTTTAATAATTTTACTCTTTTTTTTGTTTATTTAAATAAATTCTGACTGTCTCTGGTTTCTAGCCTTCTCGTCTTTTATTTTCAAACACACACACGCAAATTAAAATAGTATTTTAAAGTAATAATTTATTTTCAACTCCTTGTATGTTCAAGTTTAACCTCGAACTTGAAGCTGATTGATCTGTGGTTGCGTTATGTATACAACCTCAAGCCACATCGCATCCGGTAAAGACACATGTAAGATTATATATGAGACAGACAGTCATTTTGGTACAAATGCTCTTGATAGGTCTTGAAGGACATACTGCTAAGCGGAAGTATTCACTCTCTCTATTTTGTGCGCTGAATGCCACATTAAAACAGAACACAGAGCAAATGCACCCTAAAAGGATA